TTTGTCTTCTGTCACATCATCAATACACACCAATGATCCAGTGCCACTGGAAGCCATGCATGCCCATGCCATCACACTGCCTCCACCATGTTTTACAAATGATGTTGTGTGCTTTGGATGATGAGTTGTTCCAAGCCTTCTCCACACTTTTCTTCCCGTCATTCTGGTACAGATTAATCTTAGTTTCATCCATCCAAAGAATGCTTTTCCAGAACTGGTCTAGCTTTTTTAGATGTGTTTTTTTGGTAAAGTCTAATCTGGCTTTTCTATTCTTCAGGCTTATGAATGGTTTGCACGTTGTGGTGAATCCTCTGTATTTGCTCTCGTGAAGTCTTCTCTTGATTGAAGACTTTGACAATGATACGCCCACCTCCTGGAGAGTGTCCTTCACTTATGTGGATGTTGTGAATGGGTTTTTCTTTACCATAGAGAGGATCCTGCAATCATCCACCACTGTTGTCTTCCGTGAACGTCCCTGCCTTTTTATGTTGCTGAGCTCAGCATCACATTCTTCTTTCCTCAGAATGTACCAAACTGTTGATTTGGCCACTCCTAATGTTGCTGCTATCTCTCTGATGGATCTGTTTAGTTTTTGAAGCCTTACAATGGCCTGTCTCCAGACCTTTTACCTGCTTAATTAATGAAGAAATAATGGAGTAGCCCACACCTGGCCATGAAAACAGCTTTTGATTCAGTTGTCCAATTACTTTTCATCCCTTGAAAAAGGGAGGATGGCTACTCTTAAGAGCTGTCATTTATAAACCTTTCCTCCAATTTGGATGTACATGCCCTGAAATTAAACCTGATAGTGTGCACTTTCAGTCCATATCCATTTTATAACTATAGCTTGAATATGTTTTGGTAAATACCTGAAAAAAAACTAAAAATGTGCCTGTGTCCAAATATATATGGACCTAACTGTATGTGAACAGCCACCATAGGAAGCAATGTTTTTTCACATGTCTGCATATATGTGAACTGGCACAAACCCCCCCAGGATCAGCTGTGCTTCAGATCACTGTGGGGTGTCTGCGTTCCAAAAAAGGGTTATTTCAGGGGTTTTCATACTATTCTGACATTTTTACTTTAACAGAAAGTAAGGAAAACAGATTTTTAAAAAACATTGGTCTTTATTCCTTTTTATAGTAAAAAATAAAAATCACAGCAGTTAATTAATACCACCAGCAGGGTCTGTTGAATGCGCATGTAATCAGAAGTGGTAGTGGGCAGCACAGTGGCTAAATGGTTAACATTTCCACCTGGCAGCATTAAGGTCGTTGGTTCGAATACCAACCATGGCACCACCTGCCTGGAATTTACATGTTCTCCCTGTGCCTACGTGGGTTTCCTCCCACACTCCAAAGACATGCTGGTAGGTTAATTGGCTCCTGACTGAGTTGGCCCTAATATGTGCATGTATGAATGTGAGTTAGGGACCTTAGATTGTACGCTCCTTGAGGGTTAGGGACTGATGTGAATGTACAATATATATATATATGTAAAGCGCTGTGTAAATTGACGTCACTATACATGTACCTGTAATAAAATAAATAGTGATCTTATATTAACCACTTGCCTTCTGGAAGATTTACCCCCCTTAATGAGCAGGCCATTTTTTTCTGTTCGGCACTGTGCTAGTTCAAATGGTAATTGCACAGTCATGCAACACTGTACCCAAACAAAATGTATGTCTTTTTTTCACAGAAATAGAGCTTTCTTTTGGTGGTATTTGATCACCACTGGGTTTTTAATTTTTTTTGTGATATAAATGAAAAAAAGACCGAACATTTTGGAAAAAAAAAAAAAAATTTTATTTTCGGTTATAAAAAAATATCCAGTAAACTCAAAACATAAGTTAGTCATAAATTTAGGCCAAAATGTATTCTGCTACATGTCTTTGGTAAAAAAAAAAAAAATCACAATAGGTGTATATCAATTTGTTTGTATGAACGTTATCGTGTCTACAAACTATGGTATTTATATTATGATATTGGAATTTATGCAGGTTTTACTGTCTGACTACCTATTACATTTCTTGAGGTGCTAAAATGCCAGGACAGTGCAACCCCCTTCCAAATGACCCCTTTTTGGAAAGTAGACATCCCAAGGAATATGCTGAGAGGCATGTTGAATCCATGGAAGATTTTATTTTTTTGCCACAAATTTTTGGAAAATGCCAAAAACATTTTTTTTACACAAAGTTGTCACTTAAATGATATATTGCTCACACGCATGCCATGCATATATGTAGAATAACACCCCATAACAATTTCTTCTACTTCCTGAGTATAGGGATACCATATGTGAGAGAGTTTTTGGCAGCCTAGCTGCATACAGGCGCCGAAAGTCCGAAGACCACCTCCAGGCTTTCAAATAGCATATTTCCTCATGTCACTTCCTCACTACCTATCACAGGTTTGGAGGCCCTAAAATGCTAGAATAGTACAAGCACCCGCCCCCCAAATGACCCCTTTTTTGAAAGTAGACAACCCAAAGAATTTGATAAGAGGCATGTTGAGTATTTGCAGATATCATTTTTGTCACAGGGTTTTGAAGAAAAAAAAAATACTTTTTCGTTTTGTTTCTTCGTTTTCCAAAAACTTGTGGCAACAAATGAGATCTGAAAAATACTCACCAAAGCCCCTTAACAAATACCTTGGAGTATCTACTTTCCAAAAAGGTGTCATTTGGCGGGTGCTTCTACTATCCTGGCAGTTCAGGGCCAACATTCGAAGCTTATGCCACACATCACTCACGTTTTTAACTACTTTTCTGGCACTTTTTGTTTGCATGAAAAAATAGTTGTTTTTTTTTTTGCTAGAAGATTACTCTGAACCCCTAAACATTATATACTTTTTTAAAGCAGATGCCCTAGAGCAGGGGTGTCAAACTGGAGGCCCTCCAGCTGTTGCGAAACTGCAAGTCCCATCATGCCTCTATCTTTGGGAGTCATGCTTGTAACTGTCAATCTTGCAATGCCTCATGGGACTTGTAGTTTGGCAACCGCTGGAGGGCCTCCAGTTTGACACCCGTGCCCTAGAGAATAAAATGGTGGGTGTTGAAATTTTTTATGTCACACAGTATTTGTGCAGCAATTTTTCAATGCTGCAAATTTTTGGGGAAAAATATACTTTAACTACCTGCCGACCGCAGATAGCCGAATGACGGCTGCACTGCGGCCGGCCAGTTCTGAGTGGACGTCATATGACGTCCTCCCAGAACGCGCTCTCCTGCGCGCCCCAGGGGGCGCGCACCCGGCGATCTCTGTGATCGCTGTGTTCTACAGACACAGCTGATCACGTGATGTGGTAAAAGGCCAATCACAGTGGCCTTTTACCACGTGATCAGCGGTGTCCAATGACACGCTGATCAGAGGGAAATGCAAGTGCCGGTTCTCGGCTGCACTTTCCTCACGCTATCAGATCGTGAGGAAAGTACTGCCGAGAACCGGCAGTTGTCAGAGCGGGGATCGGCACCGATCATCAGGGCACTGATGATCAGTGCCCTGATGATCGGTGCCCAGCAGTGCCACCCGCAAGTTCCACCCACCTGTGCCCAGCAGTGCGCCCACTAGCTCCGCCCACCTGTGCCCAGCAGTGCACCCACCTGTGCCACTCTGCAGTGCACCCACCTGTGCCACTCTGCAGTGTACCCACCTGTGCCACTCTGCAGTGTCACACACCTGTGCCCAGAAGTGCCACCCACCTATGCCCAGAAGTGCCACCCACCTGTGCCCACCAGTGCCACCCACCTGTGCCCACCCACCAGTGCTGCCCACCAGTGCAGCCCAGCAGTGCTGCCAGTCAGTGCCACCAGTCAGTGCCCAGGGGTTGTGCCAGTCAGTGCCGCCAGTCAGTGCCCAGCAGTGATGCCAGTCAGTGCCGTCTATCAGTACCCATCATCAGTGTCACCTATCAGTGCCGCCTATCAGTGCTGCATATTAGTGCCGCCTATCCGTGACACCTTATTAGTGCTATCTATCAGTGCCGCCTATCCGTGACACCTCATTAGTACTGCCTATCAGTGCCCTTTAGTGCTGCCTATCAGTGCCCATCAGTGCCGCCTATTAGTGCCCATCAGACTGCCTCATCAACGCACATCAGTGAAGGAGAAAAAATACCTGTTTGAAAAATTTTATAATAGAAACAAAGAAACTTTTTTTTTTTTTTTTTCAAATTTATTGCACTTTTTTTATTTATAGCGCAAAAAGTAAAGCGCCCAGTGGCGATTAAATACCACCAATAGAAAGCTCTATTTGTGAGAAAAAAATGATCAAAATTTCATATGGGTACAATGATGCATGACCGCGCAATTGTCAATCAAAGTGCGGCAGCGCTGAAAGCTGAAAATTGGCCTGGTACATAAGGGGGTATAAGTGCCTGGTAGGCAAGTGGTTAATGCACAAAAACACAATATATTGCGCAGTTGTTTGATAACATTTAAAATATGTTGTTATGCTGAGTAAATGGATACCAAAAATGACATGCTTTAAAATTGCACACATCCGTGCAACGGCGACAAACTATGTACATTTTTAATATCCATAGGCAACGTTTTAAAAGCCTTTATAGGTCACCACTTTAGACATACACAGGAGGTCTACTGCTACAATTACTGCCCTCGATCTGACATTTGCAGTGATACCTCACATGCATGGTGCAATCTCTCTTTACATACCGACACTGGACTGCTGCAGCGCCCCCCTGTGTTGGACCAACACAACAACGTACGGGTACGTTGCCGATCCTTTGGCTGTTGCCCGTCTGTAGTACATTGCGGGTGGGTGGATGGAAAGTGGTTAATAAGTTGTTTACTTCATGTTTCAAAATTTCTGTTTGTCCATTTATCTGCTCTTACCTGTATAGCGAACTATAAAAGGATTTAGAAAATCAGTCAAAACTATAATAGTTATACAAATAAATACTAACCAATTGCTATTTGTGTTACATACCACAACAGAAATATGTAATAAATTGTGATTTTTTTCTCCTTTTTTTCAGATTAGTGCTGCAACTCTAGGGGGTCAACCACAGTTGCTGAGCTCACTTGCTGCAACCCCTTTTATTGCCAATGCTATTCCTGGAGTACAGGGCATCACAAGTCAGATAATAACCAATCCACAGGGTCAGGTAATCCAAGCTAGCTACAGTTTTTAATGATATTAGTTTTTCATTTTACATTTTAGCATCCTTTGTTTATTTCAGCAATCTTATTTTTAATATTATCAAAGATTAATGGGTGCGACCTAACTGTCAACTGTACAGTTAAGTGTTTTCTGCTCTAAGGCCTGTTTCACATGGGCTTCAGCTTGTATAGGAGCAGTGTGAACAGAAAGCTTTGACAAAGCATTTGCAGAGCTTTTAACAAGATTTTTTTTAACCTTTTAAAGTATCATTCAGCTTCAGTTTGTAAATGTTGAACATAGATCCTGATATGAGTATTGATTACCACTGTTTCCCACTCGCCATGTAAGGAAATGATGGTGGCTGTCTTGTTCTGGGAGGACATCTTATGACGTCCTCCCACTCTAGCTGCGTATGCGCATCCCTGGGGTCTTTTTTTTCATAGTGCAAAAAATTTAAAATGCACAGGCGATCAAATACCACCAAAAGAAAGCTCAATTCGTGGGGAAAAAAAGACGTAAATTTCATTCGTGTGCCGTGTTACATGACCGCACAGTTGTCAGTTAAGGTAACACAGTGCCGTAACGCGAAAAATTGCCTGGTCAGGAAGGGGGGTAAATCCTCAGGAGAGCAAGTGGTTAAAAGCGTCAACAAAGCTTGCTTAAAGCTCTGCAAATGCTTTGTCAAAGCATGCTGTTCACACTGCTCTTGTACAAGCTAAAGCCCATGTGAAACTGGCCTAAAAGGAACAGAAGGAGAAAGCTTGCAGCACTTTGATTTCAATACTATACATATATTTATGTTACTTTTATTTACATTTCAGTTCATAAAAAATGTATAGGGGTACAGCTCCATGCAGGTATAAAAACAGATATTAAAGCCTAAGGCCCCTTTCGCACGAGGCGCACTCTTTTCTGATCAGCAGAGTATCCACTCACAGATCTCCTGCTGATCGGAGCAGAGCAGGTGGATGACACATCTGCGTCCACTCAGTTTCTGCAGAGCGTACATGAACAGAGCCTGCTCTGTTCTTTGGATGGACTACCCTCCGATCCATTCTGCCTAAATGGAATGGGATGGATCCCCGGAGCTGACTGGATCAGACCCAGATGTAGGCAGGTGTAAACAGACAGAAGTCCTTTTACACCCACCTGTTCAAAGAGGTGAATGGACCACTGATCGCTCAGTTCTCGATCTGATCAGAGCGGAGAACAGTGACTCCGGCTCTAAGCCTTGCGCCAACATTGCCAACATTGTTGTTGGGATCCTTCCAGAGCCTGGAGTGGCTCTGCCATGTTAGCTGATTGTGGGGAAAAAGCTCACTGTCAGCGGACTCTGGGTAACAGGAGTACAAAAGTAAGTGCACTCCTGTGACCAATAAGAGAAGTCTGGCTAAAAAAAAAAGCCATACTTGTCTTTTAAGTAGTGTATTTTGGGTCAATGAATACAATGAATGGCTTAGGTGGAGACCATGACATCATATGCCCACCTCTTCACCTCATTGATAAAATATAAAGCTTCCTGTGAATGAGTGAGCAGTGCACATCATTATTTCGTTCTGGGAATGGGACAGGACGTTTCTTACTGTTGCCAGAACACAGTGATGAATCCTGTATGTAGCTGATACAGTTTATACAGTGCTGAAAAAGGTGCAGTAAAAGAAATAGTCTGTCTGGGCCAGCTTGGCAGTTTCTGCTGGCCCCAGTTTGAGGAATAATGCAGGCATACGCACAGGGGCGGACTGACAACTCATGGGGCCCCCGGGCAATAGGGGATCATGTGGCCCCTGTGTCCTTGCCCAAACTCAAAAAAGCCTATGAAAAAGGTACCAGGGGCATCTCATTGGGCCCCCTACTGACCCCGGGCCCTCGGGCAGTGCCCGAGTTTCCAAATGGCCAGTCCGCCCCTGCATTCGCATTAAATCATACATCCTGCATACAATAGCTATGAGAAACTACAGTTTCCTTCATACCATGGGAATTGTAGTGAAAGAGTGGGATTGTGGGCAGCTCTAATGAGTATGTAAATATTGCAGTAAATTAGCTTGTGTACTTGCCCGCACTGGGGTTGATTTACTAAAACTGGAGAGTGCAAAATCTCGTGCAGCTCTGCATAGAAAACCAATCAGCTTCCAGGTTTTTTTTTTGTCAAAGTTTAATTGAACAAACTGAAGTTAGAAACTGAATGGCTGCCATGCAAAGCTGTACAAGATTTTGCATTCTTCAGTTTTAGTAAATCGACCCCATTGTTTTCATTATATGATTTTACAAATTAATTTTGCATCATATAGGGCATGATATGCCAAATATCTCTCCTCTTAGGAGTGTACCAACATGCCATATATTAGATCAACCAGAATACTACCACTAAAGGAGGTGTATATTATTTTCACATATAACAACCTTCCTAAAAACAATATATACAATATTAAAGATGTGTTAAACCCCAAACCAAAAATGTAATATATTGCAGCTTACCAATCATTAGATGTGATGGCTGCATTCATTTTTTTTTTTTTCTTAGACTATTTTCCCTCTGTTTTCACCTGGCCAGTAACACACCTCCTGTATTAGAGGGCCCCCGCTCTGGATGAATGAGCACAGGAAGCACCTTTGGACAGCAGCATTGTCAGTTTTGGGGGAGGGGAGTGGTAGATGTACTAGCAGATTCAGTTACAAGCAACAGTTTTATTTTCCTTTTGGGATAAAGGTTTTACATACTTAAATAAGTAAAAGCTGAACATTGTAAACTTCCCTGTCAGTGTTAAATGGTTTGTCTCAACCCTATAACTGTAACATCTGCAAGAGAGCTTGTTCTTTTTAAAAACAACAAACTTGCTGGCTAGATAACCAGGTGAAAATAAGGGAAAGGGCCTAAAAAAGAAAACTAATGCAGCCATCACATCTAAGATTTGGTAAGCTGCAATATAATAAGTGTTTATTTTTGGGTTTAATACCGCTTTAATGCCGTTCCAGTACATACATATAATTCCCATTGATCTGTACATCATATATACTCGGATTAGGGTTGCCACATCATCCCTTTAAAAACCGAACACATATTATTTACACAGGTTCTGTCACTGATTAAGGTAGTAAATAAACTCACCTAGTGCCTTAGCTGTATTAAATTAGCCCCAGAACCTATATAATTAACCACTTCCTTTCTGAGGATTTACCCCCCTTGCTGACCAGACCATTTTTTTGTGTTATGGCGATGCGTTAACTGACAGTTGCGTGATTATCCAAATTAAATTTATGACCTTTTTTTCACACAAATTGAGCTTTCTTTCGGTGGTATTTGATTGCCTGTGCAGTTGTTATTTTTTGCGCTATAAAAAAAAAAAAGCAACAATTTTGAGAAAAAAAAAGAATATTTTTGACTTTTTGCTATTAAACATGTCCAATAAAAAAAATTAAAAAATCTAATTTTGTCATAAATTTAGGTCAAAATGTATTCTGCTACGTCTTTGCTAGAAAAAATCCCAATACGTTTAAATGAATTGGTTTACATGAAAGTTATAGTGTTTACAAATGACGGCATATATACTGGGATTTTATTTTTTTTTTTTTTATAGTAGTGGTGGCAATCAGTGACTTATTGCGGGACTTTGGCGGGCATTCTGACACTGGGGGGGGAATTGACTTTGTGTCACTGACATCCCCAATGACACCAGTACTTGTGATCAGTGCTAAAAAAAAAAAAAAGCACTGACACTGTACTAATGGCACTGGGCAGGAAGGGGGTTAACGTGAGGGGTGATCAAAGGGTTAACTGTGTGCTGGGTGTGTTTTACTATGGGGCTGTGTGCTTTACTGTAATCACACTGCTTTGGATGTGTGCCTGAGCTGACAGGGAGGAGAACTGTTAATAAACAGAACAGTTCTCCTCCCCGTCAGAGATGCTCGGTAATCACCAAGTGCCAACAAGTAATCACTGGCCGGGACCTGGTGATTGACAGCCGCGGCCGTGAATGGCGTCGCAGGTAGGGCGAATCATACCAGGCCACATGCCCTCAACATGAGGGTTGAGTACCTTGCCAGGGTGGGGTCGATGAGGACAAGATCCTCTTCCCTACAACCCTGCCCCAGTGGGAATCTGGAAGCCCCCTTTAACAATAAGGGAGCCCCCAGATACTACCCCCCATGTGAATGATTTTGCTGGCTGGAAGCTAAAAAGAGTGGGAAATTTGAGTGGAGAGTAAAAAACAGTTTTGCTTTTGATTGCTGGTGCTTGTAGTTTTTATTTTCTTCTTGCTAGCAACTTTTACTTTTATAAATCACTTTTTCTGTCACTTTTTAAATAGCATTTTTTTCCTTTCCTTCCTTCAGTCTTCTGATTAGGGGTAGGGGTTAATTGGTGACAGGTGCTACAGGTACTATATATCTTTCTGTAGAGCGCACTCTGAGCTTGCCTGTATTTTGCATGCTGGATCTTTGACCAAGTAGACATTTGATTAAGTGGAGTTAAAAAACCAGAGTGGAAAACAGGAGTCCTCTAACCTGTAAGTGACAACTGATATTTCCTTTTAGTAATAATAATATTGTAACTGGGATAATGAGTGCTAGCAGGGTTGAAGGTTTTGCGCAGTGCCGCATGTATGCAACAATGGAGCAACAGCTCCAGGGTGGATACCACTGCTACAGATGTGAGCGGATTGCCCTTCTGGAAGCTCGTATTAGAGATCTGGAGGAGCAAGTTGCAACACTGGGCAGAACCAACAACCTTGAAAAGGGTCTTCTGCTCTCCTAGCAGGTAGCTAATTGGATTGATGTGGAGGGGCTAGTCAGGATTATCAGGTAGGAAGATGGGTTACTGTAGCGAGATGAATTGGTAGGGGCTCACAGAAAAGGAAGGCTGGCCCTGGGTTTGAGCACCCAAACAGATATGCCAAGTTAGGTGAAGATGTGGGCGTGGCAAGCTCAGGGGTGGCAGCCATGGATGTCACTGCTATCCCTAACAGCCGGGAGGGCAGACCATCTGGGAGGGGTGGTGCAGGAAGGCCT